GTAGTCAATGCACTTCCAAATAAAAATGTTGACCCTATTTAAGAAAACTGGGATAAAAATATTATGTTAGTATTTTGCATCACTCACTGTTTTGTCTCTCTCATACTCTTTTCCTATACAGCTAAAATGATGGAACAAGAAACCATGTTGGCTAAGTAGACCTTAACCGTGACAATATTTACTAATGCCATGTCAACAAAACATAGCTGCTTGGACTCGTACCTGTGGAGAAGATATACAGTATGAATGTGTTCTGATATATTTTAAGAGGTCTGGTGTCAGTCCCAGTAGGTCAAAGTTAAAATGGCATGCATAAAAATTGTTATAAAGAAGATCAGATGTCTGCCCTTATAGTGACTGTGGGTGTTGTACTCTGAACCTGATCTTTTGATACTCAGACTTACATACCTCCAAAGCCTGTATGCTGTCCTCTTGACATTTAATAAGGAGCATGTTTACCCATAGAAATGGCCACCAAAGTTGTCCCCTGCAATTTGCCATAATGGGGTAATTCGGGACCACTAATCCAGCCCTTTCACAGGGCACTGTAGATAGTCCTCTCACATTTTATTCTGACACCAGCATGAAATAGGTTAAGGCTGAGATTTATTGACTAGCCCAGGGTCACCCAGTGAACTTTCTGGCTGAATGCAGATTTGAGATCAGGTCTTTCCAGTCCCAGCAGAACACTCTTAACTGCAACACCATTTCTTTCAATGTTCAAGTGATCGAATCGCATTCAGTCTATTTTTCATTGCAACTTAGCCACAGTTAGCTTCAGCAAGGTCAAGATCATGTGTTTACATGACCAAGCATTTGCTTGCTAACAGCTGTAACAGCTTAAGTCACAAAAATAATGCTAAAAAGTAAAAAAACGCTTAAAATTGAAATTGCAGATTTCCATAGTACAACCTGAACAGCAAAACGGAAGATATTTTTAAAAACTTGCCAAGGCTCTCATTCCCTTAACCAAGGACTCATATGAAACCAGGCTCCAGTGCTGAGACACTGAGGAAAATGTGAGTTCATTATCCCATTGTCAAGAAAACCAGTACTTGGTGTCAAGTATTATTTTTCTATGGACCAACTTTTTAAAATTTAATTTCAGAGTCAAAGATAAATTTTACTTTCAAAACTGAACTCCATCTCCCATGACACAACTGTTAAGGAAGTGGTATTTGTGGTGAGCTTTCCCCCTCATCAACCAAGCTGAAATCACTCTCACTGATACTTTGCTTGAGAAATATAGGGCATGAACTCACCCTGTAGTGTAAATAAGTGGGACTGTCTTTCTAGTAAGTGTTGGTATGACTGCAAAACCAGAGATGCACTCAACAAAATTTAAGAGCTAACCTAAACAGAGAAACTTCAGAAGAACAACTGTAGGCATTTAAGGTGCCACAGAATATACTTCTTTTTGCTGAGACAGGCTAACAGATTTCTTCTGCAGCATTAAGCTTTTGTGGGCTGAAGCCATCTCATTAGACCTACAAAGTTGTCACCTAATGGTGTAGATATAGAGAGCGTAGTGAAAAAGCAGGACATACAGAGAGGGAAGGTTCTCTGTATTTCACAAAGTAAGGCTGAAAAGCAATGTACGAGACTGCAGCAGGTCTCTCAGAACTACACACAGCACAAATGAATGCAGAGTTCATTCAAAGGGATACAAGTACAGTGAGCAAGGGCTTGACCTGATTAGTTGTCACTATGATGACTAGGCCTAGCCAAATTAACAGTATAAACACAAACTTAAATTACTTTCTGTCAGGGGTCATTTCGTAGAAAAAGAGCTAGGGGAACTCATTAACATAACTCATTAGCATATGCCACACCCCCTGACATCAGGGGCCCGGCGGTGGACCTGCAAGGCTGGCGGGAGTGCGAGGAAGCCCCACCAAGGTTCTCCTTGGCCCCAGGAAGGCAGGGGTGGGGAGAGGTGGGGAGGAAGCAACTTACCCTCCCTTTTCTCCTGCCACCTCCTGGCAGAATGAGGGCTGGAAGCTGGGCAGCTGGAAGCAGGGGGCAGGGCTTCGTGTGCCCCGCCCCCGCACCTCACCCGGGGGAACTGCGATCCCCCACGTTCCCCCCCGAAATGACCTCTGCTTTCTGTACCACACTAGCAATTCCCAGGATTTGTTCAGAACAAGTTCTGATGGCCAGACTTGCTGATCTCTTGCATGGCTTGATGATTTGGCCACACTTTATATAACACACAATGTTCTTCCCTTCTATAGTCAGGTATATATACTTGCTCATTTAGATGACCACTTCATGCATGAACAGGTCTCTGGAAGCTTGTGCCAATCCATGCATTAGACGTAAAGGTGCCATGAGACTGTTTTTACTGAACAGTTTAAAGGTAGAGACTGTGGCCTGACAATGAACTTACACAAGGACAAAAGATCACAAAGCTATGCCAGTAGCACATTTGCAACATACAGCATATAAACAACTGCTTGAATATTTCAAAGAGGGCAACAATTATCCAGCTACCACACTATTATGAGAAAAGCAGGAGGCTACAAGGAGCAAACGGAGAAGGGGAACTCTTGGTTGAAGCAGCACTCTGCTGTTCCCATTTGCTGCTTCCTCACCACCACTGGTGTCCTGTTCCCTCATCGTCTTCCACTCACTCCTCCTCCCTAGGCTGCCTGCCTCTAGCACTGGAGTGTCGGTGGCAGTAGAAGTTCCCACTCCTCTCTGCCTCCCCCCCCCCGCCTGCAGCTTCACTGCCTTGGCAGTGGGGGTGGCAGCACTGGCTCCCACAGTGCTCACAACCTCACCCTCCCCACTGACTTCAGCACTGTGGCGACTCCTGTTCCTCCTCACCTCCCCCTTTCCCACCTGCCTGCACCTTTGCCACGTCATATTGGGGAGGTGGGTTGGACGTCCGTGGCACCCACCTCCCCCCTTGCTGCCTTAGTGGGGCAAGCCATGACTCCTCCTCCCCACTTGCAACAGTAGTTTGGACACATCTGTCTGTCCTTGCAGATGTAATGTGTCCATTTGGGGGATTTCATAATACTGCCTCTGGACATGAGGATTCCCTTTAGTCATCATGACAAGTATCTAATTGATTAAACTGAAACGAGGAATGGCTGTATTTTGTATATTAAGGACTGTACCAGCAGTTTAAACGATGACAAATGAAGATAATGGATTATTTAGCGGGAGCCAGTTTGGTGTAGTGGCTAAGTGCGCGGACTCTAATCTGGGAGAACCGGGTTTGATTCCCCACTCCTCCACTTGCACCTGGCTGGATGACCTTGGGCAACCTGTAGCTCTGATAAGAGCTGTTCTTGAAAAAGAGCAGTTTATTTCAAGAGCTCTCTCAGGTCCACCTACCTCACGGGGTGTCTGTTGTGGGGAGGGGAAGGGAAAGGAGTTTGTAAGCCGCTCTGAGACACCTTTGGGTAGTGAAGGGCGGGGTATAAATCCAATCTCTTCTCTTCTTTTTCTTCAAATACCTCATCATCATTAGAGATAATAGAAGAGTAAAGGTATAGACTAGAGAAAATATTCCAAGAGAAAAAATGCTCAGGTTTGGATCCTGACATCTTTCCTTGGAGTTACTTCTTCAGCCACTAGCACTTCTGCTTGAAAGGGCCCCTTTGAAAAACATTGGTCACATGCATGTGAAGTACTAGTGGCAGAGAAAGCAAGTGCCACAGCAAAAAAAGTCCTCCATGGTGGCTGGTGAGCAGTGCAGGAGACATGATGTCACACGATACAAGCTTTAGTTTCCAAATACTGGGGAACTCTAACTTTGACAGAGTGCAATTTTATTTCCTTAGATACCATGTGAAAGAAACAGGATAAAGCTCTTTGTTCATAAAGCAGACTTGCAGTTCCTATAGTTGCTTTTCTTTCTTCTCTGTGCATCATTCTGAATTAATTCTTCTTGAATCTTAATGGATGCAATATCCCATACAAGCTTTTAGTTCTTTTCATGCACATATTAATAACCTGCCTCTGCTGGATTTTCTTTTGTGAAACCTGATGGATGGTTGCATTCAATGTCAGAGTCAAAGATAACTGACAGTTCCAACTGGGAAGATGTTTTCACCCATGTCAAACTGCTATGATGCCAGGAGGTTTTTAGGGAGTAGGAATTATGCCATATAGCTTGTTCAAATCATCCATCAGCACCATCCTGCCAAGTACCTTTTCCATTTGCTCACGGAATGCTGGAGTCAGGGAGCAGAGAAAGTGGAAAAGAGCTATGAGTAACTCAGTCAAGGCCAGAGTTTTCCACTTATGAGCGCATCACATGTAATATTGTTTCCTCGCCATTCTGAGTTGTGTGTGGCACACATATTTGATCTTGGCTACATCTTCAAAGGATGCTAACACAAAGAACATTGCACCCTCCTGAAGGCACACAGTAGAGTTAACCTGAAAGAGGTTTTAGGGTGCAAACATCAAACCTTTTCCAGTTATTTCCCTATACAATGTTCACTCTGTTCTATTAGAAGGGGAAGAGAAAGTCACAGAAATTTTAAGAAGCTTTATGTTTACAGATAAACATTGTCAATTGCAGCATTGGTACACTTAGTGCTGCACCAAATGCTGGAGACAGATTCAGAATAATCTGAGGGAGTAGTTCACCCATTGGTACACTTAGTGCTGCACACTTTTACTGGAGACAGATTCAGAATAATCTGGGGGAGTAGTTCACCCATTTCACCACAACAAGCAGAACATTAACTTTTCCACACAACTCTGAAACTTTGAGTACATTTATGACAATACACACGTGCAAGTACAATCAATATTATAGCCCCAGATCTTAATGGGCATTTCCAAATAAGAAATACAAACACTATGAGAAAAATACTAGTATAAATGTTATTTTTAAAAGCTAGAACTTTCACTTTAAAATCAACCAGTTCTTTTACATTAAATTGAGCAACCCTATTCATTAGCCAATGTCTTACCTAATTAAATGCAATACATGGGTAACAGATTTTAAAATAACTGAAAATAACTGGGGGGGGGGAATAAAACTTTAAAGGCTGAGAACACTGGTCTCTCTTTCTATGAGTGACACACAATTCCCTTTCAGTAGCATAAAGTATATAAAAAACATTGCAGCAAATGCAAAACACTGCTTAATCTTTTTGTAACTTTCGCTGGAAGTATGTGGATATCTTTCGCATGGGCATAGAAGCGGCTGAAAGCTGGTGGGGGAAAAAAGAAGTATAAAGTCAGGTATAGTTATGAGTTCATTTATTTAAATGTCTAGCTCAGAAAATGCTTCATAATCTTCATCCCCTCCCTCCTGACACTGGGAGCTAGCATGACAACCACCTCTGAATATATGACCCCAAAACTTCATACCCCCTTCACAGTTTGCATTTGTTTGTTTAATGCACCTCTTGACTAGTGAAATCAGTCTGGGAATGCCAAGTTACATTCCCATCTGGCACATGCTAGTACAGTTCTACCACTTAACATGTATGCAGTCAACAAGACTGAACCAGACAGCTGATGGTAGAACTTAGCTTTGCAGTCATATCAAATTGCTGCTGTAAGAGTAAAGATTCAACTTTACTTTCTCAAGGCATGGGCAGTTCTGAGGTGCTCATCAGCTGACTTAGACATGTCATCACAACACATCTCTGGGCAGATCTGCACCTATTTTCCTGAGAGATTCCCCTCCCCCCCTTACATGCCTTCAGAGATCTGTACAAAGATCAGCTCATACACCAAGATGGACTATGCTGAAAACGGCTTTTGCTTGTGTTTTGGCCTCCAGAAATGGAAGAACAAGTCTTCCCCAACACTAGCCTTCTGCCACTGAAAAGAAAAATAGCACCCAAATTCACATTCCACAACTAGGCTAATAGATTCCTTGTATCCTCTGTGCTGCTGTGTGAGAACAGGAAAGGAAGGCCAAGTAATCAACAGGTAGAAAGGGATGCTATGTTGCTTCTCAGCAACAAGGGGATAGAAGGAAACAAACAACCCTTGGGAACACTATGGAATGCAGCAGTCAGAAAGAGGAATTAGTAAAAATCATTCCCCCCATCTTCCTCAGTTTCTTCCACGCTAGTTCTCTCTTTCAGCTGCAGGTCTCTAGGGCACAACTCAAGTTGTTCCAGAAGTCCCAGGACTACTAGAAGTGGCTTTTCAGGGGTCACAAAGGGCCGCAGTGGGAAAGGAAAGAAGGCAAAACTCTCTTGTATGAACTCTTCTCTCTTATGAACTCTCTCTTCTTTTTCTGAAGAACTGAGCAGTGACTCACAAAACTTATAACCTGCCACTGGACCCTTGCTCTTCTCTATCACTCTCTTCGTGACTCCTTGGTATCCAACACAATGCATTTCAATGAAGTTTCAGTGGTGTCTTAAAGCTTCTAATTGGGAGCAGCTAGAATACACACTAGCATCTGTACTGAACAATGGCTTCCTCCCCTTTCTTTTGCCAAATAATACACTTTTACTGTATAATGGAATACCCATCAGAGGAACGTGGAGGATACTGACCCAAACATTCATCCCCTGCCAAAGATGTTGCAGCCATGCCTGATTTACTTACTGATGCTGGTGAACCAATTCCTGCCCCAGGTTCCTGTCGTCTTGTGCTAGAACTGCATGATGACTGAATGCTGTTGCCTGATGTATTCTGGTTTCCGGATTTGTTAGTTCGCAGCTTGTCCCCCAAAGCAGACAGCCAGTTTTTGTCAGCCGAACCATTTTCCTTGTCAGCCATTCTACCACAAGAGATCTTGAGAGAAACTGGAAAATTTAGTAAGTCTGCTGGAGAACATGGATGTTGAGAAGGTTCCTTCTGGCTTTGAATGGCCTTTGGAGGTCCACTAGGAGTCAGACAGTTTTCACCAAATGCCTTTGAATTCACTGTCTGAGTATAGTGTTCTAGCCGGGATTTTTTAGGCACTTTGTCAAGGTCTGTCACACAACTGCAACTTCGAGGGTACTTCCGTTTTGCATTGTCCTTGCTGGATTCCAGTCTCCTCTTGGCTCGTGTTTCAGGGCGCAAATGTATGGATTTAGAAGTGAAATGGTCCCCAGGGAGAGTCTGAGAAATCTCTGCCAAGGCCTTTCGTGGAGAAACTGTCTTTTCTCCCCTCAAGGGAGGAGATGAATTTGGAGTCTTGGTAATCCACTGCCTGATGGACATAATTGAGGAAGGTGCTGATTTGGGTGAAGAGCCAGAAGTGGCTTCCCTCTGCCTTGCTGGTGTGTAGGCCACAGTGGCTGGGGAGCTGACAGAAGATGATGTTGGTGTGTTGGTGGGAAGAGGAAGATCTCCCATGTAAGCTGGAGCACAAGCTGCAGGCTGTGGTGAAGAAATATGGGGATTGCCCATCATAGTAACTTTAGCAGGAGTGCTCTGCTGGCTGCTTGGAGTTTCTGAAGAGGAAACAAATTACACACAGTACAAAGTGAGGACAATATGCTGCAAGAGTGAGTAAAGCAAGGTTACAACAAAGATATGCAGTACATGAACAACATGGAATTTGAGGAATTCACTGCCTGAATAACTACTGATATTAAGGGGCTTAAAAACTTTGTATCAACTATCTCTGAAAGGGTATGCAGCAATCCTACTGCTATGGAATTGAAGCTATCTTGTCCAACTAAATCACCCTACCAGTATTATCACTGGAACAAGAAAGGTGCTTTGATGACTTAGGAAAGGTGTATTTAAATGCATTTTATTTAAATAATTTCTAGTCTGCCTTTCCCTGTAAGCAAACTTATCAAAAACGTTGCACAAATACTTTATTTTAAATTTGGGTTGCTGTCAGGATATATCAGGGTCCCAGTGGCTCAGACGTTAAGACATTGAGCTGCAGACCAGAAGGTCTGTAGTTCGGCAGTTCAAGACCCGAGTGCCGTGTGACAGAGTGAGCTCCTGTCTCTGTCCCCAGCTCCTGCCAACTAAGCAGTTTGAAAGCAAGAAATTGCAAGTAGATAAATAGGTACGGCTTCGGTGGGAAGGTTTTTTTTTTTTTTAAACCAAATTTTTATTATTTTTATTAACGCAAAACGGTACAATACAGTATAATATGCATCAAATGTGTCAGCAAAGTTTCTATTAACATATTATTAACAAGGTTAGGTATATATAACATAACAGTTAACGTTACAATTACAATCCATACCATCTTCATATGGGCTATTACAGAAGGAGTCATTGAAGTCTAGCAACTTTGTTTCCTCTATTGGTTAATTAAATAACATTATTTTATATTTTGCTTGTTCAATGCTTTCCCATTCAAAATTCTCTATAGATAATTTTCCTAAAATAGGGTTCCAGATGCTAAGAGGGTTATAGAATTTACATTCATTTTTAATAGATGAGTCATAAATTGAGATATTTTCAATCATAAATATGTCCCATACTTTATTAATCCATTGCCTCAGTGTCGGTGGATTTTTGTTTTTCCAGTTTTAAGCTATTGTCATTTTGGCTGCTATCAACAGTAAATTTACTAGTTGTTTTGTTCTCTCAGGAGGGCGGATTTGCGGCCAAAGATGGAGTAGTATCAGTTCTGGTGATAGAGGTAAGTCTATGTTTGTAAAAATTTTAATTTGAGTTAGTATTTGGTTCCAGAATTTTTGTATTTCCTTACAGGACCACCAATTATGGTAAAAGTCTGCTTTTTCTCCACAATTTTTCCAGCAGTAGGGTTTCACGGAAGGGAAGATATGGGTCAGTCTTGCAGGTGTTAGGTGCCATCTGGTAAGTATTTTCCAATTCGTTTCTTGTATTCCTATGGATTTCGAGATTTTTGATTGAGTATTCCAAATGTCCTCCCACTGCTCTTAAACTGTAGTTTAAGGTCTGTGTTCCACGCAGTTTGATACTTGTGCATTGCTGTGGTGTGTGATGACATAATGTATTTATACAGTTTAGCTATGAGACCTTTCTTTGGTGGTGATTTTTCTAGAAGTTTTTCTAGGTTCGTAAGTTGTAGTTTGCTTGCTGCGATAAAGTTAGTCGTATGAA